ACACACACACACACACCTCTCTTTCTCTCTCTAAATGCAGCTCTGGAGACTCAAAATGAACCTGTGGGGCATCCAATATCATTATTTTTCCATTATCTCTCCCTGCATCTGAAGTGTGGTTTTCGTTAGTTACATAAAATTTGAACCATCTGAGTTGTTAAAGGTAAACTGGAAGAGGCTCTAGGAACACATGTTTTCAATTTGCTCTTCAGCCTGTTTTTGAAAGCCTAATTTTGCAAACAAGCATTCCCCCTCCCCAAGATGAGGAGGGGGTAGGGGAATCAGTACCATCGTGTGTGGAACTGCGAGAGGCTGGGAGAACAGCCTTGGACTACAGTGTAACCCAGCTGCTTTGCCAACTGTCTCCAACGACCAAATTACACAGCCTGTTGAATAATCAAGTGACCAAACCATAAATTAACTGTTATTGAGAACAACTGTGTTACTTGCTAGGGAAGCAAATTCATTGGACTGCATTAAGGGGGGGATAAAGAAAGGTAACACTCTTGACCTTGAACTTGCTTGAAAGATTTGTTTCCTAGGTTGATTTGATTTGTACCTTTAGCTGTGGCCAGTGTTCTCCTAACTAAAAATGAAACAAAACAAATAAACAACCACACCTTTGGAATAAGATTTGGGAGGGGAAAAAATCCAACGTGAATACTTTTAAATGACTTTTCAACCTGCAAAATGAAGGTTAAAGAGAGGCAATGGAGCTGAGTCATTAAAATCTTTTGTTCTGAAACAGTCAAATCCAGATTTATTCTCAAAATTACTCCAAAATATAGTCTCCATTTGCTAAAACACAGGTGTTAAAGCTATGGTGGTTATAACTTCTTATAAAGTCTATAAGTATTTTTTTCATGTGTATACTACCCATTTGGTCTTTAATATTCCTTCAAGCCCCAGAATCATGCACCACTAAATTCCTTCTGAAAGTTTAAAACAAAATACTGCTAGACAGAAAGAGGGTGGGGCAGAACATGTATGCAAATATAATATTTGCAATTTCTAAAGTAAGACACTATTGGTTTATTTCTAGGGTTACAAAGGAGAGTGCAAAAAACACAACAGATTACCTAAGGCAATCTTATAGGAATTACCACTGATATCTCATGTAAAGAAAGAAAAACCATACACAAAGTTCCATATTTAATTTCTGACAATCACTAAAAGTATCACTGAGAAAGATCTGGAACCTCTATGAATTACAGAGCTCTGCATTAGCATTTAAAGCTAAATGTGGGAGTTGAAGTTCACGAATGTTAAAGTTGCCAAGTTTGGAGTCCCCTGTTTTAAACCAACAGTATTCATTTAAAGCCAATTTTTGCTGTGTTTTCAATAGTATTTGTGCCTTATTGAAAATGTCCTCATCTGAATAGTCATTCACATTAAAACTGTTGCAAGAACAAAGAGGAAAGTGGAAGCCTAAGGTAGTGTTTGAAGAGAAGAATGCAAAGGCAGTAACTCAATGTGCTTTAAGTAGTCAGGTCACAAAATGATCGCAACCTACAATTCACATACACAAACTGGAACAAAATCTGAGCCTTTCAATTATACAGGCACTTTCTTTGGCTGTGTACAGGTAATCCTTACATAGTGACCACAACTTAGACCATCAGTTCTGTCGTTAAGTGCCACAGTCACTAAACAAAATCAAATGACCGCGCAGGAGATGACATCATTTCCGCTTCCAATGTTAGGACATCACAAGACTGCAACTTATGATTTTATTTCTGGCTTCTCTGTTGACTCTGCTTGTATGGCTGTGAAACATGCAAATGGTAATCCTGGGGGATGCTGTGATGGTCGTAAACACCTACCAGTTGCGAAGTGTCTGAATGGAAATCACATAACTACAGGACACTGCGACAGCCATAAGTACGAGGGTTTCTTTTTCAAGTATTATAACGTTGAATGGTCAATGAACAAGATGGCCAGTAAAGCGAGGAGTACAGGTAGTCCTCAACCAATGACCACAATGAATCATGCAGTCAGAGGCTGGCTGGGAAGGTTACAAATGGTGATCACATGATCCTGGCATAAATATATGCCAGTTGCCAACACCCGAAGTTTGATCACGTGACCATGGAGAATGCTGCAATGGTCATAAATGTGAAAAATGGTCATAAGTCACTCTTCATTGCTCTTGTAAGTTCAAGTCACTAAACAAATGGTTTTAAGTTGAAAACTACCTTTACTTATGTGGATGAAACAGTAAAAGCTACTCAAACAACTTGTGCAGAAAACCACAGGCGTGCAAAGAATGGGGAGAACATACTGGCTCAGAAACAAGAGACCATCAGGGCTGGTCAAGCTACCATAAACTATGGTTTAATCCTATAACTGTCTGAAAAAAAACTTGCTGGGGCATCTTTGACAGACTGTCAAAGTTGACTGTCCGAGTGAGATGGTTGATAGAGACAGATTGTGGGAGAAACTACAAGTATCCATTGGTGGCTATTCTTTTATATTTATCAATTGCATAAAAGTAACTACAGCGTTACTATGTAATCACAGGGTATTTATCTGCAACCAGTTTACATGCAATTCTCAAGGCTATTTGACAATGATTGGTCAGTTATTTTAAATTTTATATAAACCCATTGGTCCAAACTCTTTCTAAACCTACATTATTTCCTCCAGGATTGCTATATTGACCCAACTCTGAATTAATTTATGTGGATGACATTGTTATTTTATAGTCTATAGCAGGCATGTCAAACCCGCGATGTCACATGACGTATCGCAACTTTTTCCTCATTGCTGGCAATGGGGTGGGCGCGGTTTCAGTATGATGCATCCGGCCCACGGGCCGGCAGTTTGACATGCCTGGTCTATAGCAATGAACTGAAGAGATTTCACTACTGATCACTAAGAAGAAAAACTTACCATAAATTATTAAAAGACAAAGATTTGTTTTTCTTCAAAACCCAAGTCAGATCAGTAAGTCACATAACAGCAGATCAGTGTCCATATTATTCAGTGGGTAAAGGCTTTCTAGACAACCATAGAGACTAGGGAGAATGGCCACAGAAGCATAATGGCAATTATTCATTTGTTGTATTTACAGTAAATGGTGCTGCATTTATTCCATTTGCAATTAAGACTTTCAAGATTACTTACACAGTTAAAAAAAATCCTTTAAAACATAACCCAAATTCCAGAGGGCCATGCTTAGTGTGCTGCAATATGTACTTTGTGTAGTAGGAAGAATATATTAACTAGAGGTCCAACCTGGTGTCACATCATAAACTTTTGGTACAAACTGAAATTTTATTCTAAGAATTAGTCCACTTAGATATAGGTTATTGCAGAAGATGAAAGCCAACCAGTTTCACAAGATGATCTTCAGCATATACCCACTATTGCCAGGGATTATATCAAGAATTGCTTTGAAATCCAGAACTTCACTGATAGGGAACCAATGAATCACGGAATGAAATCTAAAAAGCTGTTAAGGATGAATCTAAAGAGAGACTGCCAAAGATCAAAACACAGGTTGGAGCTTCCTGGAGAAGGTCTTTCTATGTGGTTGTTAAGAATCAGTGTCAGATATGCATAAAGGACTTGTCTTTATATAGCATATAAATTTGTATCTGCTGTTAATCAGAAAGAAATGTTTTAAAAAGCCCCTACCAATAGAAAGGCCTTAACATTCAAGTGATGAAAAAATTGACAAAACCTCAAAGAAAACCCACATAGTATTTGCATTATTTTTTTTTAAATGAAACAAGAAAATCCTAAATATCCATGTGGCAACCATTACATCTAGTTCATCTCAGTTTCAAATAGTTAAAAAAAAGTAGTTCCATATAAAACTTTAAAAAGCACCATTGGTTTCATTGCAAATGCTAGAGACCTACTTTTATACAATCTCTGAGTGAACAAGTACCTATTCAAACAGTTGGCAAATATTAACAGAAAAGATAAATAAACACACATGAAAACATATTTTGCCTAATACAGTGCACCTTTCTCATGAATCAAACCATTTCATACACTGTGATATGGTTATATGGAACCACCAATCACTAATCAAATTTCATGTTAAAAGTTAACATATTTGACAAAGAATTTTTTTCAAGAGAGTAATTAGTAAGAATAACTGAATGCATATAAGCAAAATCCTGTAAGAACAGAAAAAGTGACTTATATCTGATTAGTTTAATCTAGTTCCCACATGAAAAAATGAACATCCAATTTTTTTAAAGAATGTCATAATGACACAATTAGGAGTAAAAACTTTACACTGTAGAGTAGGGGTGTCAAACTCGATTGCATCACATGATATATCGCAACGTTTTTTGCCTTTGCAGAGCTGGGCTGGGCGTGGCCTGTGCATGACACCACTGTTGTAGAGCCTCTTCTAAGCTCAATATGTAATTTCGGCTTTACTCTGTCTTCACAAATATTATGGGACATATTCCAAAGCTTTAAAAACCTTTTACAGTTTAGTGCCCCTGAAAAATTTTGTATAATAAGAGTGGGAAAATGCTACACAGCGGGACAAATTGCAATATAAACACAAACCAAATGGAAATTCAGAGATGTCCAAAACTAAGATTCAACTCCAAATGGATCCCTCTCTCCATATCAATGTTACTATTAAATTATTACTAAATGTATCTTAAACCAAACTGGTTATTTTGTCTTTTTTTTATCTTAACTCTACTTCCATCTTGTGGTCAATCAGAATAAGTAACAAATTTGTCTCTCCCTTTATTCTGATGGGCACCTAAGTCGAATCTGTTGTATATACTATCATCAACATAATGTATAAGATATATAAAATGTTCAAACAGACTATACTTTAGTATAGTGAGCTACAGCCACATATTCGAGCACAACCAATGCAAGTGTGAAGAGATCAAACTGTGATCTCTCCAGTTCCAAAATGCATCTGTTGCTTAGCCCTCATCCCAGCACACTGAGTAGTTTGCTCAATATCAAAGACCTTAGGGAATAAAAACCCTGGGCATGAACTGAACACTCTCATTTTGAAACCGTGCCAATATGCTCTCCACATATGGATCTGGAAACAATCCTGCAGCATTTGCAGACACCTTTAAGGAATGTGTAATGAATGCAGGGTTTTTACAAAGAGTTTTGGGGGTTGGGGAGCCAGAAGGCAAGAGAGACAATACAAAGTGAAATTGTGTAGCCATCTTTCTTCAAAACAACAGAGGACAAGTTAATTCTCTGTTTTAAATAAAAACAAATTACATAAGGCCTTTAGATCAAATGTAGTAGCAATTTAAACATCAGATACTTTAAAATGTAAGTAGTCTAGATCACGGGTGTCAAACTTGCCATGTGACATGTCGCAACATTTTTTGCATTGCCGGACCTGGGATAGGCACGGCCTCCATATGATGCAACTGGCCCGTGGGTGGCAGTTTGACATCTCTGGTCTAGACAATACTGTTATGACTCACAGACATCACTTATTTTCACCATATTACTGACCTTACTCTCTACAGTCCATGCTATCTACCGTAATTTTTCATTTGTTATTTTAAACAAATAAGCAGTAGTACCGGCTTTTGCAGACGTCCAGCTACATAGAGTGTCTTCCAGCACAACAAATCTTCAATTAAAGCATCAGTACTTATGACACCATATTTTATAACCTGGAGCAGAAAAGAAAGCTAAATCAGAGAAATGTAATTTTAAGGTAGGTTTAGTTCTATCTAAAATCAAACACTGAAAAGCTAAAAATGCCAGAAGTCTTATTCTGACCTTTTTAAGAAAATCAGATTTTTATCTAATTTTGCAAGTCATTTTCCTGAAAAACAACACATAGCACAGAGCAGGAAATTTTGACTAAGTTGGCAATTTCTTCTTATTTTCCTATATACCCTTGAACTCAGATTCTTTTCTCTTCCCTTATTCTGTAAGACTTCCTAAGAAGGTTGCTATGTTCCTGTGATGGGTTTTGAAATCCTCAGTAAGCTAAAAAAGAATGTATTCATTGAAAGTTTAATTAACATAGACATTTCACTAATAAAATATCAGAACAAACAGAAAAACTCTAAAATCTGATCAATTTTAAAATACAATGAATTTGATTTTCAGTGAATATATTGCCTTTTACAGCATTACAACACCAGAGAAAGAAGATAAAAATCAGACAAATTAGAAATAATTTTGCATTTTTCTTAAGGGGTAAAAATGACTTACCCTACCATTACAAGGCACCAGTGTATTGTAGTAAATCCCTGCTCCATAGCTTTGGATGTTGCATATTGACTTGGTTCCAAAATATTTTAGGAAGGAATAATGACTCCGATTTTTTGACAGGTTCATTGCATGCCATGTTGTAGAATCATCAACTGCAAATACAAAATCCAGCATATTGTGCTGCAAAAAAAAAAGAAAAAAGAAAAGAGAGGGTACACTGTCTTCTCTAGTTAGTAAAATCCACAATTCATCTGCTAGCATTGGGATTTTTAGCACTGATCTCTTTTTTAGCTTATCCAAGAAGTGTGTGCGACATGAAGGAGGATGTTACTTGGACAATTCTATTCTCTGGTGCGAGGCAGGAAAGACGTTTGTCATTAGGTTTTCAGATTAACAGGGCATGTAAAATAGTTTGCAGGAGCCCTAAGCCCTACTCCCTTTCCCCTTTGAGGAAGATTGGAACAAGAAACTCACCTTAATGCAGTTCCCTAGGTGTATATCATATACGTAACACCTTCCATAAGTCTAGAAAATCATGAATAGTTGCCATCTTCAGCTACAATGGGCTAACACTATTGTATAAAACGGGTCTTCAAACTTGGCCCTTTTATGACTTGTGGACTTCAACTCCCAGAATTCCTCAGCCAGGCACGCTGGCTGAGGAACTCTGGGAGTTGAAGTCCACAAGTCATAAAAGGGCCAAGTTTGACGACCCCTGGTATATAAAAAAATGAGGGAACCTCTGATTAATGCAATCAGTGGACAAGTGTTCTAGGCAGGAAGCATTGAAAGCCTTGTAACTAGTCAAAACCTAGGAGTAGACTAAAGCAGTAAAAATAAAAAAAATCATGGCATATGAAGCTCAGTGTTAGAAAACCTGTAATATACTCACGGGTGACAGAACTCACTGGTCACCTGCCCTCTTTCCCAATTTAAACCAACCTCCTGTGTAACAGAGGATTAGCCATCTCTCAGGAATACTAGCAGTCATTCAAGTGTGTTAAATTCATGTTTAAGAAACAGATCTCCTTCCTCTATCCAAGAGCTTGGGTAAAACGAATAGATATATAACGTGGGCAAATAGCTCAGTGGTGATGGATGGGCACAAGGGCTATAGACCCCGTCCCGCTTACCTCCGTTGGGGCGGCAGAAGACCCCGCTTGTTGGAAGACCCCGGAGCCATAAGCGAAGGCTAAGCTGAGCTCTTGAGGGAAGTGAGCCAAGATCCTGCGAAACTTCACTGCCGAGCTCGGCAAAGACATTTGGGCACAGCAGCAGCAAGAAGTCGCCCTTGGAATTCGTGCTCGGCGCCTTCTTCCAAGCGGCACGTGGTCAGACCGGGCGGAAGCCTCGCCTCGCCAGTAGCTCCGGAGGAAAGGTTGTTGGTGATCGAGAGGAAGAGCCAACATGTGGCCGACGGAGGCTGCCTAAAACCACAGCGCCCTCTGCCGCAGGCGATATGGTTCTTTCGCTTTAAGAAAGAGGCCGTGCCCTATTAAATATTTCGGGAGGCGTCATAGGTAGATGTAAACAGTATCAGCAGACTCTGCAATCGGGGAATTATATTCAGCAAAACGCCATAACGCCATTGCGTTAGTTTCAGGGTTGCTTTCGTATTATGCCTCCTGTTATTTAAACTTTTCTCTTTTTGAGCAGTTCTTTAATTCCAATCAAGCACTGCTTCCTCAATCTGCTTTGTAACCGAACTTCATTCCTTTTTTTTTGTATGACCAAATTGTCTTCACAGGCTTCTGTATACCAGTTCCTCACGTCTGTATTCTATCCACGTTAATTCCGGATCTGCATTTTTTTACTCCTATTAATTGCTTGCTTTGTCACACACGAAGCGCCCCTTCGCCCCCCAATCCTGCATTCATCTTTCTTTTCTCCTGATAACACCCATCTCAGTTCCTTGGAACAAAGAACCTCATTCACATACAGGGCTAGGTTCTATATTTTACTGCCTTTCCATCAGCATTTGCATGTCTTAAAATGTCCCCATTTCACCACCTCAGTATACCAAAGTGTACAGATTAATCTCTTATTTACCTTTTTGATGATTATATATTACTTCCATTTGTACATTCAATTTTCCCTGCCAAATCTCGCTTGCTGCTAGATGAATTTGCAGGTTCATAATTCTCATTGCAATCTATACTGTTTTCTCCAAATCATTGGGGTTTTCAAAACAACAAAATGGGATCATTTGTTTACAAATGTACATGTACATTTATTTCCCCAATCAGTATGCCTCTGATGTAATAATAAGCACCAGGAATCCTATATTAATCTATATTAATTTTTATTCCCTTCAACTTCACAATAGCATTTTTAATTTAGTGTCTTTGGACCATTTACAAAGTTAAAGTATGGTTGACTAGTTTGTGGCTTAGAGCTGTGTGCTCTTTGGTGAACCCTGTTTTGTACAGAGAGGCTAGCCCTGAGTTTGAGAAATTATATCCTAGGCTAGGGTAGTGTTTCTTAATCTTAGCAATTTTAAGATGATTTCTGGGAGTTGGAAGTCCACACATCTTAAAGTTGCTGAAGGTGAGAAATAGGAATAGAAAGGAATTTGCTCATTGAGTAATCTGGAATTGTCCATAACAGATATGAGGAAGGATTCAATTTATATACTCTTCTGTAGCCATACCACAGTAATTTTCAAAGTCTAACATGGCTTTTCATCCATCTAGTCAACTAGCAGTGTGAGTTCAACTGTTGACAATTATATCTTTGCTGATTCAGTTATAACAGCCCTCCAATTAATTCACCAAGCTTTCTCTAAATATAGCAACTCTTTCATTCTACACTCTGTGACCAGATGGTTTGTTTTCACCCTGTAATTGCAGGTATCTCCAGCTTGTCACATTATATACTCGCTGTTATAATTATACATTTCATTTAGTTTTTCTCTGGATTGTTTTTTGGGTTTTTTTTGGAACATTTGTCTCAGAAAAAACAGTGGAGCAATTAAGACTCATTGGTTTTCCAACCTAGTTTATTCAGTAGTTGTTTTTGGCAGATATTTAAATCCCCAGTATATCATGTTTATTATTCCTGGCTTGTATTTGTCTTATGTAAATTAAAGGCATAAATGTGAAGTTTTTCAGCCCATGTACTCCACATTTGCATTATGTATTGAAGCCACAATCTTTATATAAAAATGTAAATGTTTGTTTGTTCAAAATCTCAAATCTCCGAAAGTTCTTCACCGATTGCTTTGAAATTTTGACACAACGTTGCATTCGAATACGTGTATGTTTTTATATACCTATATTATATAAATGTCACACCTGTGACAGGTAAAAACATGCTTTTTTGAAAACAGCGCCATCTGTTGGACGTAAAAGCAACACACGCTACATATTACAAACATGCGCTTTCTCTTTTCATTCTTTTCCATTTAACCAGACTGAGCCACAGCAATGCGTGGCCGGGTACAGCTAGTCTTATAATAATTTCTGGGAGCTAAGTCACAGTCTCAGGTCATTGGATACACTGAATAAAATATGGATACTCTGAAGCTCAATCAACTGGATTAATTCAGTGAACTATTATTAAGTGAGCCAACTATGACTAAGTGAGCTAGTTCTGAGTAGACATAGATAGAATAGAATAGAGCTTGAAGGGACCTTGGAGGTCTTCTAGTCCAGCCCCCTCCTCAAGCAGCAGTCCTATACCATCTCAGACAAGTAACTGTCTAGCTTCTTTTTAAAAATTTCCAGTGATGGAGTGCCCATGATTTCTGGGGGCAAGCTATTCCACTGGTTAATTGTCCTCACAGTAGTAGCTGAAGTCTGAAGACTTCTGAAAGTGGTATAAAGTTTGTTAAATAATTCTCTAAAGAGCAAGCCCTATTTACTAGTGAGAAAACAAGTGGGATTTCTATTCAACTACTTGTACAGCAGTATTTCTCAGCCTTGCCCGCTTGAAAATGTATGGACTTCAACTCTCAAAATTACCTAGCCAGCATGAAATATATTGAGACTCATCTAGAAAGAGTACAGAGAAGAGCAACAAAGATGATTAGGGGACTGGAGGCTAAAACATATAAAGAACTGTTGCTGGCATGTCTAGTTTAATGAAGAGAAGGACGAGGGGGGACATGATAGCAGTGTTCCAACATCTCAGGGGCTGCCACAGAGAAGAGGGAGTCAAGCTATTCTCCAAAGCACCTGAAGGCAGGACAAGAAGCAATGGATGGAAACTAATCAAAGAGACAAGCAACCTAGAATTAAGGAGAAATTTCCTGACAGTTAGAACAATTAATCAGTGGAACAACCTGTTTCCAGAAGTTGTGAATGCTCCAACACTGGAAATTTTTAAGAAGAGACTGGACAACCATTTGTCTGAAATGGTATAGGTTCTCCTGCTTGAGCAGGGGGCTGGACTAGAAGATCTCTAAGATCGTTTCCAGATTCTATTCTATTCTATTCTATTCTATTCTATTCTAAATAGATTGCAACAAAATTCATGAATTATAACTTTGCTATGGATGAATTAATGGATATTAAAATAAATGACAAAACAAAACATTAATGCATAATATATTAAATGAACAATAAAACATAAAATAGATGAATAATCTGTCAATCATACGTTAATAGATTCATTTCATTTTTTAAACTATCGTGAATCCGAATTCAGGATGGAGCTTAGAATTATTAATATATGACAAAAATGTATCGCTATCTAAAGGTAGGAGTGGTTCTTGAGAACCATCTTACCTGTTCTGCAATATTGATTCAAAGATTTCTCTATTGGAAGGTAATCTTATCCTAAGGCAAGAGCCAATAATGGGCAGATGGCTCAAGGTTTCCATAAAAAACTGATGGAAAACAGGACTTGGTTACAAGGTGCTGCTTCTAAGAACCCTCTTCTTAGGCTCAGCCTATGTATCGCATCACAGAAAATACTATAAATCTCCAGTGGTCTCTCACTGCTGGCATTTTCAAATCTTTTCCTTACTTGGATGTTGGGAGTAGCTGTGTAATGATATCTCAGCATCCAAGCAACATTTCCTAGATAATGAGAACCAGTGAAACTATGGGACTTCATAAACAGGCTTAGGAAACATTTGGCAAGTATCATTTTGATTATTTGTTGAAATAATGTACTGGAGCTTTCGACACTGTGCTGCTCCCAGGGCAGTTAAGAATGAAAATAAGCAAGCAAGCAAGCAAACAAACAAATGTCATGTAGCTAAAGCAGTCACTAAAAGAAAATGGAATTATAGGTCAAATGTAATAAATACAATTAGAAAAACAAATGTGTTTTTTATTATACAGCAGCTCACATTGCTTTTTTTTAAAAAAAAAAGGAAAAGGAAAAAAAACACAGCCTAGTGATAAAATATAACTAGAACAGTGCCATGTTTGTCTGCTAAATAAGCATCACCACTAAGGAGATTATTGTACAGATTATCTGTCAGTTCCCCCCCCAAAACTAAGAATCTGGGAAGAGATGAGAAAATATCTTAGGACTGTAAAAGAGGACAGTTATATAAGATAATAATACATGCTAAAGTTCAATAACTCCTCCCACTGGCCCTTCCTTCTCTGTAACTCACCCTAATCTTTAGAGACTTTGGGTAGCATAGTAAAACCAACAAAAAGAAAATGAAAAACATAATAATAAATAAATCAGAAAAATGTCAAAAATCAAAACAAAATCGCAAAAAAGAAAATTAACCTCACCCCCCACATAAAACTCAAGGTAGGCACTCACAAACAGTCAGCTGGACTGACTGCATATTGAAATAAAACAGCTTTGGTGTGCTAATGAAATTGCAGAAAGAGGGTGGGATGGGGGAACTGCACATATTTCTGGAGATAGAATATTCCATAAAATATGGCTTTACCAAGGAAGATCTGCCATCTCCCCCAGATCTGATATCCACACAGATTGACTTCTGACAAGGCATTCATGATCTGATGTAACTTGGGATTGTGCTGAATAGTGTTTTGACCAGAAGATTCCTTTTTGATGTATTTTATGATGTGATCTTCACTTGCACCTATAAAATCTGAAGTGGAAGTTGGTTTGATAATTGCTTCAATGCAAAAAGTAAGGTTCTACATTTAGGCAAGAAAAACCAAATGCACAGGTATAGTATAGGGGGTACCTTGCTCAATAGTAGTAATTGTGAGAGGGATCTTGGAGTCCTAGTGGACAATCACTTTACAGTAAATATGAGCCAGTAGTGTGCTGCACTGCCAAAAAGGCCAACACAGTGCTAGGCTGCATTAACAGAGGGATAGAATCAAGATCACGTGAAGTATTAATACCACTTTACAATGCCTTGGTAAGGCCACACT